TTAATAATGTGATTTTTAAAAATATGAAGTGCTTTCTACCCTGACTGCCTCCAAATTTAAGATACTGAACTAGGAACAAATGGCCTCCCACTTGTGTTCACCCATATTCAAGACACATTACAGACATTCATCCTTGATAGAAATCAACATTATAAAATATTTTTATTGATTCATAGAGGAAGGGAGAGGGAGAAGGAGAGAGAGAGAGAGAGAGAGAGAGAGAGAGAGAGAGAGAGAGAGAGAAACATCAATGATGACAGAGAATCATTGATTGGTGTCCACAGAGAATCATTGATTGGCTGCCTCCTGCACACCCTGCACTGGGGATTGAGCCTGCAAATAAGGCATGTGCCCTAACCTGGAAATGAACTGGGACTTCCTGGTTCATAGGTCCATGCTCAACCACTGAGCCATGTCAGCTGGGCTAGAAGCGTACATTTTGTGTTTGATCCTCCCAATGTTTAAGGGCAAATTGCTGGTCACTGGAAGAATTGATTCCATGGCCTCAAAGGCAGCAGGGTACCTAAACTTAAAAACCGCCTGAGGAACAGAATGTTATTGGCATCCTTGCTCTGATGTTTGCTCAAACTACAGACCAATCACTGAAAATACTAAAGCAGAGTATGTTCCGACACCCAAATACAAAGGTTTAAGCTAGATTTCTACTTGAGGAATTTCCCCCTATATTTGTTAACCTTCAGAACATTGATTTTAAGCGATCGGTGACCTAATTTTACTCAGTCAATGAGCACAAGCTTTGGAATCAGCCTGGGGTCAAGTTTGGGTTCAGCCAATTAACTGTGACCTTGGGCATGATCCTTTGTAGAGCTCAGAGCCTGAAGCCTGTGAAGCACCATCCATGAGCTTGCTTGTGCCAGCAATTCCTTTTCAATCAGTACTTAACCCCTTGTCTATTCTTAGTGATCACAGTCAAAATGAGTTCAAAGTGAGTACACACAAATCAATAACCATCTTAACGGGGGACTCCTCCCTCCTCCCAGTGGAGAGAGGAGGCAGTAACAAAATTCCAAGTGGATGGAGGCTCCACTGCCAATGAGGTCATGGAAACTATTTTTCCAAGGGAACCAGCAAGGAAATATAAAAAGTGACTATTGAAATGAAAATGCAATGAAGGAAATGTGACTGTAAAAATGAAAACAGGCAATATAATACAAGTTCTGTTTCTGAACTGTCTTTGGCATCTGAACTGTCCTTCTGCCCCCACTGCCCTAGCGTGATGACCCTCCCCAGCGCTCTCAGGGAGCCTGCCATCAGCTCCTGCAGGGCCCCTCTTCCACCCGCACCAGCACTGGTGACAGCAGGCAGTAAAGAAGCAAGCGTTCAGTGCAGACTGTACACATGGTTGTGTTTATATCTCTGGATGTATTCAGGAAACCTCCCAGAGTAAACCACAAATATTAAGAGTGGTTTTCACCCCAGATAGTTTGGCTCAGTGGATAGAGCATGGGCCTGCATTTCATTTTGCATGGAAATGTTTGTGCATAGAAACTTCCATTCCTCTTCTTTTTTTAACAAAAAACATAAACATTATTTTATTCATTTTTTTGAATATACTTTTATTGATTTCAGAGAAGAAAGGAGTGGGAGAAATAGAAACATCAGGGATGAGAGAGAATCATTGATTGGCCGCTGCCTTGTGTCAATCCCATGTCCCTCACTGGGCATAGAGACTGAAACCTGGGCATGTGCCCTGACTGGAAATTGAACTGTGACCTCCTGGATCATAGGTCAACCCTCAGCCACTGAGTGACCGGCTGCTCTTATGGAATGTAGCCATAGTGGTTGATAAAATCATTCAGATGTTGATAGAAATTGCAAACACCACCCCATCCACAAGTGCATTACTTTTTGAAAACAGTAACAGTGTTCAACAGTGTCAATAACTCCATCTTTTTGCGTTTCTGTAAAAAGATTTAGGAAGCGGATGGATACGAGGCAGGATTATCTACTGATGGGGTTATCCACTCCCTTCTTCCATAATAGGGAATCAGAGGGAAAGCCACTGCAGTTTTGAGCAAGCCACAGGCTGTCTGCATGTCCGGAGTGGGCCAGCAACACAGCCCTGGGGGAACCTGGATCGATCATGGAGACAAACCAGCCTTCTCTGGTGAGTACAGATTTCCTGTCAGCAGCCACACTGTCCATGGTATATTTTTCCTTTTGTGAAACCTCGGGAAATTAGTAGACTGTGTTGCTGTTAAATCAAGAAAGTGTCTTACTCAACGCCATTTCTTAGGTGATAATGTTTGTTAAGGAATGTTCAAAGTCTTGTACTTTTTTGTACATAAATTTCCTAGAGTTGATAGGCCTGATATTTTTGTTTTGTCTTGGCTTTGTGTTTTATTGGTTGGTTTTTTTATTTTTATGTTTTAAGAGAGAAAAAGAGGAGAGTGAGATCAATCGTTTGCTTCCTGTTGCAGGGACCGAACCCACAATGGAGATGTGTGTCCTGACCGGGAATGGAACCCTCAAACTTCGGTGAATAGGACCATGCTCCACCAACCGGGCCACATCAGCCAGGTGGTTTTGCTTTGTATTTTTGTTGTTATTGTTTTAAATATATGTATTTGTATTGATTTCAGGGAGGAAAGGAGAGTGTTGGCCTATGGAATGAAGGGTCCCAGCTTCCATTCCGGTCAGGGCACCTGCCCAGGTTTCGGGCTCAATACCCAGTAGGGCGAGCAGAAGGCAGCCGATCAATGATTCTCTCACCACTGATGTTTCTATCTCTCCTACTCCCTTCCTCTCTGAAATCAATAAAATATATATAATATTTTTTTAAAAAGAAATATTTGACAAATTAGCACACCTGTTTTTACCTATGTAGACCCATTTGTATAATTAAAATTAAGTATATGAAAAGTTTAATTCCACAGAAAGCTTCGACACGTATTACCGCAGTTTTAAATATATGCTGAATAGTTCCAGTAAATGAATGTCACCTTGAGCATTGCCTGCAGGCGTGAAGACGGCTGCAGGAAGTCAGTCCAGGGGACAGCGGCCCAGTTACCTCCTGTGACGCAGTGTGATCACATGCTAATCGTTCTCTGAACACTGTTGACCGGCAGTGACTTTTGGATTTAAATATAAAGACTTTAGTTGTAGACACGGAATATTTATTTATGTTGGTAAAATTGCTACAGTGTTTTTCCAACCTGTGGCCTATTCGCTAAAATTTGTTAAAAACAACAGTGGCCCCGTCTGCGTGGCTCAGTGGTCTACCTACGCACCAGGAGGTCACGGTTCCATTCCCCATTGGGGCACATGGCTGGGTTGTGGGCTTTATTTCCAGTGTGGGGCGTGCAGGAGGCAGCTGGTCAATGCTTCTCCCTCATTATTGATGTTTCTATCTCTCTCTCTGCCTTCCTCTCTGAAATCAATAAAAATATATTTAAAAAAAATCATTTGTAAGGAGTATTATCATTGGGGGAAATACTTGCAATAAAATATAAAGTGAGGGGGAAAGGATTAATCATGCATTCTGGAAAGCAAATGCATTCTAGAGACTGAAATGGCCTTTGGGGAGGAGAGAAAGGGGATCTTTCTCATGTTACTGTTCTCTTTTTCTTTTCAACAAGTAGCAATAATAGTAGTGGCTACACTACTGACAATAATCTGAATGTCTACTGAGAGCCAAGCATGTTCATTTTCTCACTTAATCTTCACAACAGCCTTTGAGGTAAGCACTATACTATTACTGTCACCCCCATTTACAGATTAGAAAACTGAGGTACTTAGAGCAAGTAGCCTAAGGTAGAGCTAGGATTCAAGTGTGGAATTTTGACTGCAGAGTCTTGCTCTCTATAATTACAGTACTAGGTGTGGTGCCTCTGGGTTTATATTGTAGTATTCTATTTGTAAATTAAGAAAGAGACCCCACTTTGCCCTGGTGGTTCCTTCTTCTTCCACCTGGTGAACTTCCTGATCACTTCAAGTCCCTGCTTACTGGCAACCTGCCCCTCCTGTTTTACTCTATTGTTTCCATAGTATTTGTCTCGCATACTCTCCAATTCTCAGATTCATCACATTACTTCTGTTCCCACCCCACCATCCGTGAACTCCATAGGTCAGGGGTTTTTATCTCTCTCTTTTTTTTAATATACATATTTCTCTATTGATTTCAGAGAGGAACGGGAGAGGAGAAAGAGAAACATAAAAGATGAGAGAGAATCATTGATCAACTGCCTTCTGCACACCCCCTACTGGGGTTTGAGCCCACAACCCAGGCATGTGCCCTTAGCGGGAATGGAACCTGTGACCCTTTGTCCGCAGGCTGACACTCTATCCACTGAGCCAAAAACAGTTAGGGCTTATCTGTTTTGCTAATTGACGTATCACCACCTGAAAAGATGCTGGCACATACAAGGTGCTCAACTAATATTTGTAAATTAAATGAAGTTTTTAAAGCATAGCACATTTTCAGTGTCATATTCTTATTTTAAAGTGTAAACACGTATACACATGTATATGGGGGAGAATAAAAATATTTCAAAATGTTACTGGTGATTTCAAGTGATTATTTTTTTTTTTACTCGTTATGTTTTCCTGTGGTCTTATTCCCCAAATTCAATGTGAAGATGTATTATTTCTTCATCAGAAAATTCCTTTTTTTAAACACCTCTTCTAAACCTCGTGTCACATACATTGCCACGCGCAGCGAACTGTCTTTGCTGCAAATGGCATGAAGCCAGTATGAATGGCATTCGACTACAGGAGAGGGGGCACGGATAGTCTTTAAAAGAAATGGTTGCTTTTAAATCATCGCCCGGTATTTTTGTGGTAAATATTTCTTAAAGGAATAACATCCTAAGCTCCTTGTGGGTGGACTGCGGCATTCATTCCTGGGAAACACGCCCACCTAGCAACCGGAGCCGAGCTGCGGCTGCCGGGCGCTGCGCCTTTAATTTCTGGGTGTGCGCCTGGAGCTGGGGGGCGGGGGAGCGGGGGGGGGGGGAGCAGTTCCGCTCCCCGGTGGCAGCTGTCACCTGTACAGCGAGCACCGAACCGGGGGATGGAGCCCGGCACCCATTGGACAGAACAGAAAGGCGGACACCTACCCCGGAGACCCCGGGCGCGGCGGCGGCAGGCGCGGGCGCGGGCGCGCGCGGCGACCCCGAGCGCCTTTCCCCCGGAGGCCCCGGGCTCTGCGGCGTGGGCGTGACCGTGACCGCGGCCCGGCTCCGGGACACGCCCGTTCGGCCCCGGAGGACCCGATCCGGTGAGCCCAGCGAGGCGGACGCGGCTCCCGGAACCCCGGCTCAGGCGCGTCCCAGCGCGCGCCGCGACGCGCACCTGCCGCGGCCACCGGGGGGCCGAGGCCGCGGGACCCGGGGCCGCCGCGCTTCCCCGCCGCGCGGGGCCCGGCCATGGCGCTGGCCGCCGCCGCCGCCGCCGCCGCCGCGGCCGCCGGGGTGAGCCCGGCCGCGGTGCTGGGCTTCCTGCACGAGCGCGGCGGGCAGGTGCGCAGCTCCGAGCTGCTGGGCCGCTTCAAGCCGCTGCTGGACGCCGGCGACCCGCGCGGCCGCGCCGCCCGCCGGGAGCGCTTCAAGCAGCTCGTCAACGACGTGGCGGTGGTGAAGGAGCTCGACGGCGTCAAGTTCGTGGTGCTGAAGAAGAAGCTGCGGCCCCGGGGGGCGCCGGAGCCCCCGCGCCCCGCCGCCTCCAGCGCCCCCGAGCCCACGATCGGCGCCCCCGAGCCCACGATCGGCGCCCCCGAGCCCACGATCGGCGCCCCCGAGCCCACGATCAGCGCCCCCGAGCCCATCTCATCGGCCGAGACCGCTGCCTCGGGTGCTCCGTCCTCGGCCTCCGATGACCCAGCCCCGCCATTGGAGCAACAGGACACCCCCGAGGCTCCTCCGGTCTCCGAATTCACCCCGCCGACCGGGGAGCTGCGGTTAAACCCCGAGAGCCAGCAGCCCGGAGCCTCCGTGGAGCCGGTCCAGCCCCCCGAGGGCCTCTCTGCAAACGTGGCCCCCCCGGCCCGGGCACCGTCGGAGGAGGAGGCCTCCTTGCACCACGCAGAGCCCCCGAGCCTGGACCCTGAGCCCGGGGCCACGCCAGGGCCGCCGCCGCCGCCGCCGCCCCCGCGGCGCGCGCCCCCCCAGAAGCCCTGCATGCTGCCGGTGCGCTGCGTCCCCGCCGCGTTCCGCATCCGCGCCGAGGAGCAGGGCCTGCGCCGCCAGCTGTCGGAGGAACCGGGCCCGCGGGGCTCCCCGCTGCTGCGGCGGCGGCTGTCGGTGGAGGAGTCGGGCCCCCTGGGGCTCGGCCGCTCCCCGCACCTGAGGCGCCTGTCCCGCGCCGGCCCGCGCCTGCTGAGCCCGGACACGGAGGAGGCGCCCCCCGCGCCGCCGCCGCCGGCCGTGCCCCTGGAGCCGGCCGAGCACGAGTGGCTGGTGCGGGCGGCGGGCGGCCGCTGGAGCCACCAGCTGCACGGCCTGCTGCTGCGCGACCGCGGCCTGGCCGCCAAGCCCGACTTCATGTCCGGCTACACGGCCCTGCACTGGGCCGCCAAGAGCGGCGACCGTGAGATGGTGCTGCAGCTGGTGCAGGTGTCGGGGCTCGGGGGCGCGCCCGTGGACCTGAACGCGCGCTCCCGCGGCGGCTACACGCCCCTGCACCTGGCCGCGCTGCACGGCCGCGAGGAGGTGGCGGCGCTGCTGGTGGGGCTGGGCGCGCAGGTGGCCGTGCGCGACCACAGCGGGCGGCGCGCGCACCACTACCTGCGGCCGGGCGCCTCGTACGCGCTGCGCCAGCTCCTGGGCGACCCCGGCCTGCGGGGCGCCTCCAAGCCCGGCGGGGCCGGCGGCGGGGCGAACGGCACCCTCGTGGTCCGGCGCCCCGTGCAGGTGGCCGCCACCATCCTCAGCTCCACCACCAGCGCGTTCCTGGGCGTCCTGGCCGACGACCTGATGCTCCAGGACCTGGCGCGGGGCCTGCGGAAGTCTGGCTCCTTCAGCAAGTTCCTGGGAGCCTCGCCCTTGGCTCCTCGCAAAAAGACAAAGGCCCGGAGCGGCCTGCCGCCGGCCTTCTCAGAAATCTCTCGGGGGTCCATGCCAGGAGGACCTTTCGCTGGTCTCATGCCCAGCCTGCCCCCCACAACCTGACTGGCGGTCCTGGCGCTGCTGCGGGGATCCAATCCGGCCTGCCCCTCAGCCTAAGCTTGCGCATGACCAAGGCTCCATCCGGGTTCCAACCTTGTCCGCTACAGTGTTTCCCCCGGTGGGCTTATGCCTCCAGCTTCTGTCTGTAGCTTGATCTGCCGTCAGAGATGGGATTCAAGGTCTCAGGGAGAGCTTCCCATGAGAATGCCAGGACTCAGGCTTACACTTTGGAGGAGACTTGAAATTTAGGATCAGAGGTTAAGGGGCCAGCAGCTGGTCTAGTCCCTTCATGAGTTAACCCAGTGCCTCTGCATCTATACACTCCCAAGCCAGGACAGGTTGCAAGGGTCCCTTTAAGTGCTGTGTGAGGTTGGGTGGTGTGTCAGCTGTAAGATACTGGTGGTTTTGTAATTTGATGCTTTTATCCCAATTTTTTAAATTGAAATGAGGTAAAGCAATTTTCATAACCTTTTGAAATTATATTTTTCCATTTTTAGGCAACAGGCTTAGACATTTTTGATCTTTGGTAAAGATTTTGGAATTCTATTTAAAATGATTAAAAATTATTATCAAGATCTAAAGGAAATGATTCCCAACCAACAAAATCCTTAAATGTTTATCTACCTCGTTTTAGGCAATCAAGAGTTCAGAGAATCTTGAACATAGAATATGACCATTAAATGTAATTAACTTCACTTGTGCTGTGAATGCTAAACATTAGGAAGCAAATGTGTCTTGGGAGTAAAGGTGATTTACTAACGAGAGAAAAGAGACATTTGGACAAATACTTTTAATTTGTGGTTATCTTTATGGTGAAATATAAACACGTGTCTTTGGCACTGGTGGGTGTCTATTTTGATTTGGCATGAATAGTTAATTAAATGTGATTTATGTGAATTGCACTGTTGTACCATATTTCTCATTCTGTGGTTTTTAAAATCTGGCTGAGACTTTCAATGCAGTAGATGACTACTCAACGTTGGGCTGCCATTCAAAAAAAAAAAAAAAAAAGGCATAGCAGAATAAAATAATAACTGGTAAAACAATAATGAATATAATCAAGGACCAACTATTTTACATGAACGTTCTAGACCAGTGGTCAGCAAACTCATTAGTCAACAGAGCCAAATATCAACATCATGACTGAAATTTCTTCTGAGAGCCAAAAACCGACTTCTGGGCATGGGCCACGAAGTTTCAATCGCACTGTACGTGCGCACCCACACGTGGTATTTTGTGGAAGAGCCACACTCAAAGGGTCAAAGAGCCACGGTTTGCTGACTACTGTTCTACACAATTGGAAAGTACGACATGACATCCATTTCTGAAAGCAAACAACTTAATCCAAAATACCAAATGTGAAGTCTCTGCTTAGTGACCTCAGAGGGGTGACCTGATGTCTCTGGACCTTTGCTCCTTTCTATAACTGAGAGGTTTGTAGGTATGGCCAAGATTTCCCAGGTTCATGACAGTGTAATTACAATGTTTTTTGTTGTTTTGTTTTAGAGATGTGGAATCTATTTGCTCAACCTTTTTTTAAAAAAATCATATGGTGGTAATACTCTGCTTTTGCAAATTGTGTTTGCATGTCATTAGTTATATCAAATAGCTTTTGTGGCACAAGGTAGTGGGGTTCCCCTCCCAAAAATACATATTTCAGCGAGGCCTCTGGAATTATGTAAGGCAGTCCTTCATGGAATGTTTTGACTTAAGCAATGAAATAAACAGCCTCTTTCTCTGTTTCTGCTTGTGAGATGATGTACTTCCCTTAAGCCTTTTACAGCTCTTGCCACTGTATTTTTCTTTCCTTCTCCTTTTTATCTACTTAATCTCCCTTTTCTCCTCATCCCTCTTCTGCCACTTTATCACTGAAAGAGTTTGAATTGCTCTGCAAAATAAAAGGCGTCAACCCCTCATGGCCATGGGAGCCAACACTGCAGATACATGTAAGCTCTGATCTGCCCTTCCCACATTCCTCACAAGAGCTCTAGCTAAGCTGCATAAATTATTTTTAAATGAAGACGAAATCTTCTGCCTCTGCAGGAAAATTGTGGGAGGCAATAATTATAGCAATCTGAGTGAAGGTCTAGAAGGCAATAAAATAGCAGAGATTTCCCATTGTAAAAAAGAGGCTTGACTTTAAAATAGGTCACAAACGCAAATATGACCCACCTTGAGAAAGATAAAAATCTAAGCCGGTAGGGTAGTAATAATAATAACGAATGTTTATTGCACATTTAAATCAGAGGAGGTTTACTCAAGCTGCCAGAAGAATCTTCATGTTTCAAAAGAGTGTGCTGCAATCTTTCTAAATGAGGTGAAACAGCCCTAGCCGGTTTGGCTCAGGGAATAGAGCTTTGGCCTGCGCGGACTGAAGGGTCCCAGGTCTGATTCTGGTCAAGGGCACATGCCCAGGTTGCGGGCTTGATATCCAGTAGGGGGGCATGCAGGAGGCAGCCAACCAATGATTCTCTCTCATCACTGATGTCTCTATTTTTCTCTCTTTCTCCCTTCCTCTCTGAAATCAATCAAAATACATTTAAAAATAAAGAAATAAAAATAAAAGGGGTAAAACATTTGACAAGAGTTTAAGATCACCAAGCCTAAAACTCAGGTGTTAGAAGCCACTGCTTTTTCCTTGCAGGCCAACACTTTCTGACGTTATAAGGTAAATCACTAGGGAATTAAGGTTTGCTGTGCCTGTGGAAAGTTTTCACGAACCATATATTGCCTAGCAAGGAGGTACACTTGTGGGAGGGTATTTCCAACTGACACACACAAAAATAATTGTTAATACAGGGAGGCAATTTAGCTGGTTAGAATGACCACAGGGAAGAGAGTCACTCCTCTTAGTAGGGAGAATTGTTGATGTAGATGCATGAGAGTCACATCCAGAGCAAGCTTTTTAATGAAGTTTTTTATTTCTCTTATAGAAGGTGGGAGGTTGTCTTGGAGCATGTCTCACTTCACTAATGGAGACCGGGGTGTGGGTAATACACGTAAGACCTGTGTTTATTACGTGCCAGGGACAGTTCTAAACACTTTGCAGATACTGACTACAACCTGAAAGGTCTGTCCTGTTGGTGTGCTGATTTTAGAGTGAGGAAACTGAAGCCAGGAGAAACTGTAAGTGGCCTGTTCAGGCCCCACAGCGAGGTCAGTGTCATGGGATGGCATCCTGTGCTTTTCCCATCACAATATCCTGTTGCAGAAAAGCAAGGTGATCTCAATCTCAGCTCTTTGCCCATTTAGTGACCTTAGGAAAGTCATCCAATTTTCTTTTCTTTTTTAACTTTTTATTGATTTTTTACGGAGAGTAAGGGAGTGGAATAGAGAGCTAGAAACATCGATGAGAGAGAAACATCAGCAAGCTGCCTCCTGCACACCCCCTACTGGGGACATGCCTGCAACCAAGGTACATGCCCTTGAACGGAATGGAACCTGGGACCTTCAGTCTGCAGACCAACGCTCTATCCACTGAGCCAAACCAGTTTTGGCAAGTCACCCAATTTCCCAAGCTCCATGTCCCTTTTCTGTGGGACAGAAGCCTGGCAGTACCTACCCTACTGGCTATCGTGGGAGAAGCGTAGGAAATGAGTAGGTGGAGTTCTTTGGGAACTACAAACCAACCTGAAATATTACCTGGGGGGCCAAGCTGGCCCCACGGAGGTATCCAGCTGCACTCCCAAACAGCTCTGATTGGTGGCTGTGCTTCACATGATCACCATTGTTAACCATGTTAGTGATTGCGCACATAAAGGACAATCAAGCCCTGGCCAGCTTTGCTTAGTGGTGCAGGGGTCCTCAAACTTTTTAAAGTGGGGGCCAGATCGCGGTCCCTCAGAGAGCTGGAGGGCCGGACTATATGAACTACTAATTCCTACTGTAACACCTCGGCTGCGCTCACTGCCCAAAAAACCTGGCGGGCCGGATCAGACTCCTCTGCGGGCCGCATGTGGCCCGCGGGCCGTAGTTTGAAGACGCCTGGGTTAGAGTATTGGCCCGAAAAATGGAGGGTCTTAGGGTTCGATTCCCCGTCAAGGGCACATACTTGGGTTGCAGGTTTGTCCCCAACTCTGGTCAGGGCATATGTGGGAGGCAACCAATTGATATGTTTTTCTCATATCAATGCCTATCTCTCTCCCCTACCCCTACTCTTTCCCTCCCTTCCACTCTCTAAAAATCAATAGGAAAAAAAAATCCTCCGGTTAGAATTAACAAAAACCAATGTGCTTTGCGAGAAAACATGTATTCCACAAAAGGAAACTTATTTCATACTTACTATGTAATATTGATTTAATTGAGAGGCATAACAATGTCTTAATTCATATTCCTCTAGAATCCCTACCCCCACCTTCCAGAACTAGACAGTTGTCATTCAGCCCTCAACACACAGTCATAAAGCTTAGGCACACCTAGTATTACAGGCAGTTAGACATGAGCAGAGCAAGGACGATGGGCCAGGTACAGGTCACGTGGACAGAAAGCCCTGGGTGCCCAGCAAAGGGCAAAACTGGGAAAACAAGAACCGCCCCTCAGGGTAACATTTTCACCACTAGCACATTGCTGGTCATGTGGTTTAAACAACCCCCTACCCCCCAGACCTTCTCCTCCTTAAAAGATAACATCTAGGCATCAGTTGTATTTCAGCTCCAGACCCCAAAGAGCAGCAAAACCAGACCAGTGACTCTGTGGCTGCCTCAGGACCAGCTGCATGGACTCAAGACCAAGGGCCCAGACCAAGCAGTGGAGATCGTGATGGTGAAAGAGCACATCCGAAAAGCTGATGAATATTCTGTTGAGACCCTCCCCTGAGGCCTCCCCTAAGATTCCCTCCAGCAGAGTGAGATAAATACCCTCAACACAAAGGACCCAGCCTGTGCTCCCCCTGAGGAGCAGGCCCCACTCCCTTTTCCCTCTTCTCCCCCCACAGGCAGGCTAAACTCTAATGCCTAAACTCTAAAGAACCCCATGAGGCTTGTAACCAGGGGAGCAATGGGCAGCAGCAGCTCATCCCTGGCCAATCCCCCGAACATGTCCCCAAGGCCCCCTTTTCTCTGATTTTGCAGGGAGCTAAAGCAGACAACCCAGGCTCTCCTGCTGCTTCTATGGTAAGCCCTTTCTTGTCTCTATGTCTCCAGCTTTAATAAATGTTCCCTTATAGTCACCTGGACTCATGCTGTTAAAGACCCATCCGTCCCCACTCTCTCCCCAGCACACTCCTGCTGGGTCCCAGGCGGAGCGGTCAGGGCCAGGTCCCCTTTCCAGTAACACCAGGACGTGCATTCTCCCCTCGCTTGGGACCTTTCCTTTAACGAGTTATTTGACCTTTTAAAATGTCTGCATAAATACACAAACTCTATTCCTCTCCAGGTAGCTTTTTGCCTTCAACCTCTGCCCCGGCCTCACCATTCCGCAGAGGCCCGCCACACGTCTGGACTTGAACCCTGAAGCAGAAGTAGCCTCGGGTGTGACTACAGGGAAGAGGGAAGAAGGGGAAGGGAGAAAGAGGAAGGGAGGGAGGGAGACGGACGTTCCAAAGACGTCAGCAAAGCACCTGTTGTGATAATAGCCCTGCAGGGCCGTGGAGAAGATTGCTTTGTAACAGTTCCCTCCCCCACACCTCCCCACCGGCCTCCCCTCTCTGCGGTTCTCAACCACAATTGCTCTAAATTCCCTCTTAAACTTGTGATTCACAGGGGAGGACCCACGAGGAGGTTTTTCTGCCAGCTGCTCCGGGAGGTGCGTGGCGTGTGGAGCCGGCTGTGCAAGGCAGATTGGCGCTGCTTTGTGGCAGGAGAACATTGCTTCCCTATCCGCTTCCAAGCTGCAGTCTGGA